CAGTGCCGGCAAGCTAGACATGCAGGAGCACTTTGGGATGACTGTTGCGAAAGCAGCACCTCTCCAGCTCCTACCAGTGCCACGCTTGCCTGCCCATGCTCTAGCAAAGCCTGGGATTTAATCAAGGTTCAGGTGTGAGTTTTATGCAATTGAAAATAAATAAATAAATAAATAAATAAAAATAAAAATAAATAATAATACATTTATATATATATAAATATATATAAATATATAAATATATAAATATATAAATATAAATATATATATATATATATATATATATATGGCTATAATGCTATATACTAATATTAGAGTAATGGGATTTTAATAACTGTTGAATTGGTTTCAATTTGGACCATTAGCTCTTATATATAAACTAGGGTTTTTAGGCTAATTGATATGTACATTTTTGTATTCCATTTTCATGCACTCACAGTACTAAATTTAATTTAGGATTTATTCATTCAACTTATTATTATTATAACAAGTACATAAAATTTAAACAATCAGCAAATTCTGCTGGTCTTGTGCTGCCATGAGGACAATCTTGTGCAGTGGAATTTAGGACATGGATTCAGTCTTGCTACTGTGAGCTGAATCTCAAATTAAAGATATGTCTTTTATATTAACTTTAGAACCTTCTAAAAAAAATTAAATGATAGATTATTAAAATTAATTCATGATGTTTCCCAAAAAAAATATTATATCTATATAGAGAAACAAAAACTAGACATGGATCTGGGCACAGCATAGCATCAACCACAGCCTCTAGGAGTCTCCACAAGGATGTATCACTAGTGTGCATAGTCAATTTTTGTATTTGTCTCTGTAGGACATTAGAGAATGTTTCATTGATTACTTTTAAGAAGGTTGCTAAAACCTTAGCCACCTGCCAGGATGGCAGCAGCAAAGGCACAGTAGCATCTGCTAGCAATCTAGTAGCTCTCTAGTGGCACTGTAAACCCCAGTATGTGATCTTCTAGTGCTGACCTAGTGGTGAGGGGTGGTTCTATGGTGCAGTTAGGGACTTTTTGGTAACCCTTTGCATTTTGGAGGCAGCCAAATGCAGTTCTCCCACCACCATCTTGGCGCTTCACCATATCACTCCATCTTTTATCATTTCTACACTTACCACCCTTGGGCAATGCATCCCCTTTTCTACCTCTTTTTCTTTCTCGATTTCAGCCAATCCTTGGAGCATCCCGGAAGTCATCAAGAGGCTGTATTTATATATTACACTTTTCTGAGCCGAAATCTAGGTATGAGTTAGGTTCTTTGGGTACTCACTCTTTTTCATCTATTTTTCTCCTCTTCACACTTTTTTTGCACTTTTTCTTTAACTTCAGGGTCCAGTTTAACTACAAGGTCACCGGGTTTTCCTCCCTGTCTCCAAACTTCATACCTACCTCTTTTCTTTCTGTTTCTACTTTGTTTTCTAGAGTTTCTACTATTTGACGCAGTTACCAGCACTTGGCATCAGTAGCAGAGGTACACTCTACACTTCAAAGGGTTCTCGCGCGTCTGGAACCAATGCGATCCACCGTGGTTGCATGTTAAGGTATGGCCATTGAGAAAGTGAGAGAGAGGGAATATTCTGGTCCTCAAAATATTCCCTATCTTCCTTGTATAAAACCCTTACCCCACAAGGGCAAGGGGGGGGGGGTCATTTTTATGGAGAGCATTGAAACATTTCTCATGTTTGAGCGAGTGTTGGGGGAGGCGCCCCTCCTTCCTCAATAGTGATTATTTAATTGATCCTCTATAAATCCATCTATAGCAAGATGTAACTCACTTCATAACAAGCATAAAAAGAATTATCAATGATTTATATATCCTAACTCAAATCCAATAAGGATTCAAACATTTCAATATTAATCACTAACTCTTCCTCTCGTAAAGTTAGCATAGTCCATGACTAAATCACTTTTCAAGGAAAAGCTCAAAGCTCAACCCCTACTAATCAATCTCGTCTAGAACACAACTAACTCAACTTGCTACTCAGTTCATTTGAACGTCAATATAATTGCTAACTAGCAAATGCACGAATGCCAACAACACAAAGTTATAACCCAAGTATCAACACTATTGGCATCGAGACTAATGAAACTCAATATCAATCTTATAGAGAGACATCTCATTTCACTCAAATCTCAACATTAATAATGTCAACGACAAGGCATCACTTCAATGCCATCAACAACGTAACAAAGCTAGAAGAAAGCAAAAGTGAATCACCACTAAAAACTTTTAGCAACTAAGTTAACCAAAGTCAAAGATACTTTAGTCAGTATTCAAGATTAATTCTTCAACAATACTCAGCTATAGATAACATTTCATCAAGGAGTGATTCACCACATCCAAGACTCAATGAAATCCAACACTATGAACTAAACATAACCAAATGATATTGACAAAAGTAAAGTCAACATGCCAACATGGAAAACCCATGTAAGTCTAACAAGACGATCCTCCGCAATACCATCCGGTAAAGCAAGCCTATTGCTAAATCTTCATCGAGTGAAGCAAGTGTCAACAGTCCTTGACAAAGTTTACAAGCAATCACTAGTCACAAAGCAACCAACAATCACTCTTCGACTTGCCTTCACAAGAACCAAACACCAAACTCGTGCCATTAAGTTATATGTTTGGCCAACATGAACGTAATAGCTCAAGTACTAGATAAAGTTCATGGATAAACATAAACTAAATGACAACTCCATGACCCCATCTATAGCAAGACGTAATTCACTTCATAACAAGCACAAGAAGAATCATCAATAATTGATATATTCTAACTCAAACCCAATAAAGATTCAAACATTTTAATATTGATCACTAAGTCTTCCGCTTGTAGAGTTAGTATAGTTCATGACTGAATCACTTTTCAAGGAAAACCCAAAGCTCAACCCCTATTAAATAATCTTGTCTAAAATGCAACTAACTCAAACCTACCACTTAGCTCGTTTGAATGTTAACATAGTTGTTAACTAGCAAATGCATGAATACTAATAACACAAAGCCATAACCAAATCATCAACACTATTTTTATCGAAACTAATGAAATTCGACATCAATCTTTTGGAGAGACATCTCATTTCACTCAAATCTCAACATCAACAATATCAATGACAAAACATCACTTCAATGCCATAAACATTATAACAAAACTAGAAGAAAGCATGAGTGAATCACCACTCAAAACTCCCTAGCAACTAAGCTAATCAAAGTCGAAGATACTTTACTCAATATCCGAGACCAATCCTTTAGCAAAACTCAATTACAGATAACACTTCCTCAAGGAGTGAATCACCATATCCAAGACTCCATGAAATCCAACATTACAGGCTAAACGTATCTAAATGATATCGATAGAGGTTACGTCTCAGTGAGTACTATCCAATGAGATTGGGCAACTAGTCTCATTGTATATGCAGAGATGAAAATGATGATCCGAGTGGGTACACATTTTGCGTGCTAGTCCTAGCAATGGGATGCTGGTTGCTCTAGGGTTGTTCCAAGTTGCTCCAAGCTATTAATAATTTCGGGATCTTTGTATTGAAGCTCTTGTTGAATGGTTTTAAGTATTTTCTTACTCTTTTTCCATTCTGTATTCTCGATTTCTAATGCTTAATCATTTTCATCTTGTTCTTCATAATTATCAAGTTGTTGACATTCATATTGTGTTCTTGTGATTGCGAAGACTTTTGGTTCTTCAGTCATTAGTTATTCTTCATCTTCTACATCAACTTCTGCTTGGATTGCTTGTGCTGGTGGTGGTCTTCCAGTAGGAGCTTGATTGACCCTTTGGTTTTATAGATTGTATTGTTGCCTAGATTGATTTTCTTGTTGTTGATTTTGTCTTGGTTGATAATTTTGTTGCGATACTTGATTGTTGTAATTGTTATATTGCCTTTGTTGGCTTTGGTTGTAGTTGTTCCCTTGTGGACATTAATAATTGTTTAGTTATCCATTGTATCATTGTTAGTTGTAATTGCCTCTATAATTATTTTGTCCTTGACTATAGTTTTGATTCTGTGGGGGATTATATCCATGATTATATTGTTGATTATCTTAGTAATAATAGTTTCTTGGTAGTCTTTGTTCGTGGTTGTTGTTTTCTTGATAATTTTGTTATGGTGGTTCTCATTGAACATTTTCCACTCTTCAAACTTTGGTGGTATTTCTATATTGACAATTCTTGGCTATATGTCCTTCTCTATTGCAAATCTGACATTTGGGTAAATGGAATTTACAGTTTGAAACAGAATATCTTTCATTTTTGCATTTTGTACAAAAGACTCCTTGTTTAAGCTTGGTTGAAGCTAACTTCTTCAATACATGTCTAATGTCTTTTCCTTGTGTTTGTTTCTTTTTGGTTTTGATTAGTATTTCTTCCTCTTCATCATCTCAGTCATCATTAGCATGAGAAGATTGACCTTTAGTGAATTGCTTAAACCGTTTCTCAAGTTTTAAGATTCTTTGAGATAGTGAATCAACACTTTCTTCATCAGGTGTATCAGCCAAGGCTATCATGTTGCTATAAGCTTCTTGTAATCCTTGTATGTAAGACAAACTTTTGCCTTTGTCAGTGATTAGATCTTTATATTTTTTTGCATGTAATTTGAATCGTCTAGTATAGTCTTGAATTCCTTCCTTTGGTCGCTGTTTTATATTCTTAATTTGCTCATAATGTTCCTCCGGTGTTCCTTTGGCTGGGAGCTGTTCTTTGAATTGTTCAAGTTTCTTGCCATGTGGTACAAAATCCTCTAGAGTATTATACCACTCAAGAGCTTTTCCTTTAAGTGTGTATGGGAAAAGTATGGTTTGATGCTGTTCTTGATTGTTCATCTTGACAATCTGGTTGAATTGTAAATTCTGAATCTTCTAACTTACTTCCTATGAAAATTGGATATGTAATCATGCTTCCAATTGTACTCATTGGGTGGATGATTGCCATTAGTGGTTGTAGACTTTGTTAGTTGAGTTGTTGTTCTGGTGAGTTTGGATTTGAGTAAAACTCTAATGCTGTGTATTCTACTTCTTCAAATGCCTCAAACTCTGGGGTGTCTTCGATATTTAGTTCTTTGTTATCTTTGACTGGGTTGCTTGACTTGGCAACTTGAATTTGTTTA